CAAGAAGGGAGAGGGTTGACGTGTCGTGAGGTTGTTAACCAGTGTCATAAAATAATATGTGTACTAACTGTTTAATGAGAAACTATTTGTTCTGTGAACCTTCATCTAAAGTACAATAAAAAAAATTTTTTTTTAAGCGTTTTCATCAGGAAAAGAGGAGAGGAGGGCAGGGATGAGGGGGTAAAGGATTACACAAAGATTTAGTCTAACGGCTTAAAAATCAAAAGGCTCATTGGACAGATAGGTATCAACTATAATAGGAAACACACTGATCCTGGGGAGATGACTTAATATGGGCCCTCCAGGTTCTTGGAGCTTAAACAATTATCTACAATTTGGAATTATACTTTAACTTCCCACATCAGTGTGTGTTCTGGACCTATTTCTCAGGATGCAGCCAACAATCTTGAGTTATCTAAACCAGGCTGAAAATTAGAGGCCATTAATAGCATCTTGTAAAATTGCTTCTCAGATTTTCTTCAGCAGAATATGCTGAGGGATTTGGTGATAGGAAGGAGCAAAATGCTGCTAGTTATTTTTCCAAAGCTTAATCTAGAAATCTCTTTCAAGAGCTTCTTTCCCAGCAATGAGATGAATGCCAAGACTAATACAGACTATATTTTTCCCACTTAGAAGTGGTGACCAGGTACATCATCCATGGAGAGAAGTTTCTTGGGGTTCCCAGGGGTGAACTTCTCAGCCACTTTTCATAGCCAGCCAGCTCACCAGCTTGCTATATATTTGCCCCAATGCTTTCCCAAAACCCAAAACCAAACCCATTGCCATCAAGTCAATTCTGACTCATATTGACCCTATTGGACAGAGTAGAACTGCCCCACAAGGTTTCCAAGGAGCAGCCGGTGGATTTGAACTGCCGACATTTTGGTTAGCAGCCAAGCTCTTAACCACTGTGCCAAAAGCTTCCCAGTGACCTGGAAAAACACAGGCATCCTAGATTCAAGATTGAGGGCAATTTGGCCCATGAAGCTCCCATTTAATAAAACCTTATTTTTCTTATGTCCATGAAAGCAGTAGTCAAGAAGTCAAATGATTTATTGCATTTGGGTAAACCCGTTGTAGAAGACCTCTTTAAAGTTTTAAAAAGCAAAGATGTCACTATGATGACTTAGGTGCACCTGACCCAAGCCATGGTCTTCCCAATTGCCTCTTATGCATGTGAAAGCTGACAGTGAAAAAGGAAGACAGAAGAAAAATTGATGCATTCAAATTGTGGTGTTGGTGAAGAATGTAGAATACACCATGGACTTCCAGAAGAACAAACAAATCAGTCTTAGAAGAAATACAACAAGAATGCTCCTTAGAAGTGAGGATGGTGAGACTTTGGCTCGCTTACTTTGGACATGTCATCAGGAAAGATCAATGGCTAGACGAGGACAGCACGGCTAGTAAAGTAGAGGGTTAGTGAAAATGAAGGAAACCCTCAATGAGATGGATTGACACAATAGCCACAACAATGGGCTCAAACATACCAGTGATCATGAAGATGGCACAGAATTGGGCAATGTTTCATTCTATTGTACATAGGGTCACCTTGAGTCGGAGCCGACTTGATAGCAACTAACAACAGCAACAATAGCATTTTTCTTATATATTTTTTGTAAACTGCTAAGGTTTTATAACCAAGGAATTTCTTTTTTGTCTGCTACAAACAAAACAAAACAACAATCCTAAAAACCTGTTCTGAATCCTTCTCTGTTCTTCCAGGGTCCCAGAGCCTCCTGCTTGGGGACTAGAAATGGTTTCACATTGAGCAGCCACTTCAGGGGCCCAGCTTGGCCCCAGCAGGCAGAGGTCAATTCATCATGGACTTGCCAGAGAGACACAAGGGGAATGAACAGAGGAGTCTCTCCTCTCAGTTCAACTGAGAAATATAAACCAACAAGCTGGCACTAATTAAGAGCTAATGGCCTTACAATGGAGTGTCGGCAAAGGATAACGACCCTCAGGCTGCAGCATAAATATCAAGCCATTAGGGGCAGAGCCAAGACATATATTTTCAGAGTGCATTAGATACCTTCCCGGCCTTCCTCACCCCGGCTCTGCTGAGAAAAACAGGAGGATTTAAGATAGGTGGGAAAGCAGCTGGATCTTCTAGGGCTGCCTTCTGGCCTGCTGGTCAGCCAGCTTCAGGATGACTTTTGGAAAAGATTTTTTTTTTCAGAAAATCTCTAATGTTTGTGTGTATAAGACTCACTTGGAGGAGCTCGTTAAAATGTAGCTTCTCTGAGCCTCACTCCCAGAGGGTCTGATTCAGTAGCTCAGGGGCACAGCCCAGGAGTATGCATTTTTTCAAGCTCCCAGGTGAATCTGATGCTGGTGGTGGTCCTCAGACCACAGTTTGAAGCTGCTGCTGCTTGCCCCTTAGACCCCAATGACAACGTTTTTACAGAATGAAGAAGGAAGTGAGGTCAAAATTCTCAGCTTCCCGTGAAAGCACCAGTCAATTCTTTCCTATATAAACATGGCTCAAGGTTGTCTCAGAAAAGGTGGCTTTTCCAGCCTGTCCCTGTTGGGGGTCTTTGAATTCACACAAACCTGTGGTTACTAGAAGCAAGATTCCAGGGAATGAGGAGCTAACCGTGGGTCTGAAGGGAAAGAGAATAAATCCCATCTGCATGGTGCATACCATGTCTGCAGTGCTTTTATATACCATAATTTATGTGAGCACTACTGCAGTCTTTCAGGGTAGTCAGATTATTATGTCTGTTTTAAAGCTGAGGCATTAGGCTTGGAGAGGTGTCTTGCCTCCTTTGGTCACCATGACATCAGGAAGGAAAGTGAAAATAGTTACCGTATTACAACTGAGGTAAGCAGGGCAGGCAAACCAAACCAATAACTTTAACTTTACCTACCTTGACCAGGCTTATTATCTGCTAGTAGAACTGAGGTTGGTTGCTGGGATCGTCAAATACTTCTGTAAAAGAATTGATGGCTCAGATTATAAAAATAGATGGTAAGTTTGTATGATAAATGCAAGCAGAGTATGAGAACAGGAGAGAAACAACCCACCATATCATCTGGGAAAATGAAACTCCTTGGCAAGACTTCACAACAGCCTGATTCAAAATTTCATAATGAAATTATGTCTCTGATCAAAGCCTGAATGAGCTCATGGACTGATTTTTACCATTTGTGTTTATTCTGGTTTGCACCAAGTTGAGGCATCAGAAATACATTAACCTATTCTTCTCTTTGGGAGTGGGTTATTGTACCTTCGTTTTCGGGGACCAAAGTGACACTGTGAGGCTGAAGGGGGTATCTTGGGATCTTCACGGAGCATGAAGTTGTTTCCAACCCATTCTTGAAGATTCCCTAGGACACCATGTCAGGGTCAGGGGCTTGCTAGCAAAGTTGTGCTTAATCCCGTGATACTCGCCCTTCGGGCAATATAAGTGAGGCTCAAGGCAAAGAAGGCATTTCCAGCTCATGTCTAGGATATGGCCTGTTTTGCTCTATAAAGAATGATTTTGGGTTTGTTTGTTTCAGACTCAGAGAAATAAAGAGTCAATCATCCCTCCCTCAATTAGAGTACCTCGTGTTTATTTTCAAAGAATGAGTTACACCACAGGCCTGAATCCACTCCTCCTCCTGCCTAACCATCTCTTCTTTGGCCTATCCTCAGGGCACAGTGTTGGCTATTTCCTGACAACCTGAGGTACCAAAAAAGAAGGCAGGGATTCTTGGTTGAAACATTGATATCTAGAGACTTTACTTTGGCTAGTAGAAACAGAAACCACTGGTTTTACTGCCCCCTTCCCCCTTAGGGCAAGAGGCATTTCCATCTATTCATTCCTTCATTCATCAATTATTTATTGAATTCTTACTAAGTTTCAGGTGCTGTTCTAAGACTTGAGGACACAGCTTGGTGAACCAGCTTACAAGATCCTGCTCTCAAAGAGCATACATTCTAGTTTGGGAGAAGCAGCCTATAAACTTGCAAATAAACTCAGCTAGTGATCAATGCCATGAAGTAAATAAAACAGAACAATGTAAAAGAATAACTGCAGGAGGATGGGGGCGTTGGGGGGGGGTTACTGACTAAACAGATTAGACAGGAAAGACTTTTCCTAGTAGGAAGGGTTGCTAGATAAAATACAGGATGCCCACTTAAATGTGAATTTCAGATGAACAATATTTTTTTTTAGCATAAGTATGTCCCGTTGCAATATTTAGGACATACTCATACTACAAAAATTATTTGCTGTTTATCTAAAATTCAAATTTAACTGGGTGCTTTATATTTATATTTGCTAAATTTGGCAACTCTACCAGTAGGTGATATTTAAGCTGAGAACTGAATGACCAGAAGCAACCAGCTATGCAAAGATTCAGGGAAACAGTGATTCAGGCAGAAGGAACATCAAGTGTAAATGTCAGAATAACCAGAGACAAAGAGATACAAACGAGATCATATAAATAGGGAAGGCTGGATCATGCAGAATCCTGTAGGGATGGCAAAGAGTGTACACATTCCTTCCTTCCTTCCTTTCTTCCACCCTTCCTCCCTCCCTCCCTCCTTCCCTCTCTCCTCCTTCACTTCCTCTCTCTCTTTCCTTCTTTCTTTTCTTAATTCTGAGTGATGATAAGCTATTGGGAGTTTCAAGGAGAAGGGTGACACGATCTGATTGCTATCTGGCTGCTGTGTGGTCGTCACTTTTGGAAGGGTTTATAAGGCAAATTTCGAAGAAAATTAAGCTTAAGCTTCTGCCATCGACCTGGGAAGAAGCTTCCTTGTTTGGGGGTGGACCGAACTAGGGCCTCAGGGCCGCGCGTTCAGGGTAACTAGGCGGTTGCTATGGAGGGGCAGCTTGGCGGTTGCTAGGGAGGGAGAGGGGCGGGGGCTCTTCACAGGGCGTAGTCGAAGCGGCTGGGGCGGGGGCGGAGCCAGGAGTGTGGCGGCGCGCGCTGGGTGTTCGCAGGATGTCACGCAGAGAGAGATGGCGCGAGCGGAAGTGACGTACCCGGGCACACGTGGTGCAGCGTGGTTACCGCGGGTCGCTTCGGCCTGGCTTGGGAAGTTTCGATCTCGTTTACCCGACGTAAGCCAGACCTAGCGCTCAGACCCGGCTCCGGCCCGGATTCCGCCGGCAAGATGGTGAAGCCCAAGTACAAAGGACGGAGCAGCATCAACCCCTCCAAGGCCAGCACAAACCCCGGTACAGACGGCAGGGGCTCGCCGAGGGTGGAGCTTGAAGGAAGCCTAAGGACTCTGAGGGGACAGAGGGGGAGAAGGGGAACCTGGTGGCGTTGCTTGGAGGGATCTTGAGCTGAGTGGCTTTTGGTGATGAGAAAGGAAGGGAGTGCAACATTTGGAGGGGTTTCTTCACCCGGCGACAGTGAGGGGGCTGACATCTTTTTCGCCTGGCAGAGCAAGGCCCAGGCAGCTGGTCTAAAGGCGGGGAAACTGAACACTCAGACCTGGCAACCTGGGGGCCTCTCGAGTTACGAGATCCAAAGACTAGGAAGTTCTGAGTTGAAAGGGAAAAGGGCAGTTAAACTTGCCCCCCTGTGTACCCCCCACCCAATAGATTTCCGTCTTATTACAGCTTTCTGGCTCGGGGAATTTGCTACATAAATTAGATAAGGTCACCTTAAAAGTGGTGTGGGCCGACGCAGCAGGCCTTTTATACTCGACACCACCTCACCTGTCACCTTAGTTTTGATCATTTAAATGAGAAAGGGATTATAGATTTGGCCCTTGGAATAATCCCATTTAGTAAAGTACATAAAAACTACAAAATAAATATGGTCATTTCAATAAAGATGTTTTTGGGGATGTGTATCAGTTTTGGTGAGGTTCCCCCTAGAAGATGAGCAAGATCGCCTTTTCGAGGAGTCCCTTCCATCTGGGTTTAGTTAATAAAACTTTGTTTTAAAATGTGATGTAAAGTTTTTGATGACTTCAGTGCATGTTGAATGTTTTCCCTGGTTGTTAACAAATTATTCCGTTTTCATAGACTGGAATCTTAGAACGTTAGACCTTAAAAGGCCTTTGTTGTTGTTGTTGTCAGTTGCCCTCCAGTCGATCCTGACTCATGGCGACCCCGCGTGTGCAGAGTAGAACTGCTCCATAGGGTTTTCAAGGCTGTGACCTTTCAGGCCTATCTTTCGAGGTGCCTCTGGTGTGTTCAAACTGCCAACCCTTCTGCTAGTGGTTGAGCGCTTAACCATTTGTGCCATCCAGGGACTCCTTTGAAAGGCTCTTAGAGATCATAATTTTATAGATGAGGAGACGAGCCAGAAGAGAAGTGTCTTGTTGCAGTTGACACAGTTGGTGAGTCGTAGAGCCACTAGTCTTCCTGTCATTTCAGCCTGCTTAACTACATCACTGCAGGAGTAGATGGAATTTGAAGGACTCCCAAAATAAGAAGCTAGGCTAATATTAACTTGTTTGTTAGTTTTCCACTCTCTTTCTGGGAGCCCTGGTGGTGCAGTGGTTAAGAGCTCAGGCTGCTAATCAAAGGTCGGCCGTTCAAATCCACCAGCTGCTCCTTGGAAACCCTATGGGGCAGTTCTACTTTGTCATATAGGGTCGCTGTGAGTTGGAATCTATAGCAACGGGTTTGGTTTGGTCTGTCTTTCTGAGATGTAAGGCAAGAATTACTACTTATTTTACGATTGATTAAACTAAAATCAAACATTTCCTACACTTATGTACAAAGTTGTAGTCTACATGGTGGCTTGCATATACTAGGCCCTCAGTATTTGATAAACTGAGACATAGGTATGTGGCTTAGTGGTTAAGAGCACAGATGGTGACTGACTGGTTGGGTTCAAATTCTAGCTTTGCCACTTAGTAGCCGTGTGACCTTGGGCAAGTTATCTGACCACAATGCCTCAGTTTCTGAGTCTGAAGAATGGGGATAATGTATCCCTCTTTATAAGATTATTATATAGATTAAATGAGATAGTGCCTGTAATGTAGGTAACATGGTGCCGTAATTAGTGCTCAAAAAATATTAGTTATTATTAAACACAATCCCATTGAACATCAGAGATTGGGACAGCTTTGTTTTGCCATATAGCTTCAAATAATAATAATTTTGTGGGAGCAAAATAAGGAGGAAGTAGAGATTTTGTGGTAAGGTAGCAGCTAGCCTAGTTTGGGTGAGAGCTGGTTAGTGCGTTTTGAGCAATGACCATACTTAAATTGTTTGTTGTCAAATAGTATGTTGTCTACTTCTGCCTCTCCTAGATCGAGTGCAGGGAGCAGGAGGCCACAACATGAGGGACCGGGCCACAATCCGGCGCCTGAATATGTACAGGCAAAAGGAGCGCAGGTGAGCGCTGGACACCGTCATCCTTTCCTCTTTCCTTCATGCCCTTCACTTGTAGCTGAGACCCATGAAGCCTTGGATATTCCTACCCCCACTTTTCCCAAATAGAAGTAGTATGTTTTCAAATATCTACCATAAACATTTTCTGTAGGTGTTGTTACCGTAAACTGTTCATTTACGATTAAGGCCATGGGTGGTGGCTGGTGAAATAGTGATTGTGTCAGAATACTCCACAGCAGTTAGACGTCTCGTTCTCACAGCCCAGCCTCCACCAGTGCCACAATCTGAGTTAGATATCCTTTAGATAGAAATTTGGTTTTCTTTTACAACGAATATAGGACTGTACTTACAAAGGCAGCCAGAAAACTCGTTCTTTTAATGCCAAACTTTAGATCACAGCATTCTGGCACTTGGCAATACATCACATCTCTGGGTTCTGCTGAGGCAGCCTCTACTGCAGGAACTTGCAGAGTGTGGCATTTTATTAGCTGATCTTAATTTGTTTGGTAATTAGATTCTTCATCCTTTCTAAAGGATGTGTCTAAAACACAAGTGTCAATGAACTTAATCTGCCTTAGTCACCGACTTTGCAGTTTGTTTTAGAATTTTCAGTTCAGCATAAATTACCCTCTACTTAAAATTTATTTAAACCAGCTTTCAAATAATTACCAAAAAAAACTCAAGTATGTGATTTTTTTTTTTTAAAGCAAACAAATGGTAAACAGATTTTAAAACATCAGCATTATTTGTTATTCATCTAGCAGAAATCATTATGTTCTCTGTTGCAAGAGGTTAAATGGCTTTTGGGCAATCTGTTTCAAATGTAAAAGTACTTTTTGTTTACTGAAATCTGTATTGCATGGTCGTTTAAAACGAAAAAAAGGCCACATGGATGGAAAGAGTATTCTGTTAACCAGACTTTGCTGTTGCCTTTCTTCTGTAGTCAACCAAATTCTGTTATTTCCTCGATTTAGGAACAGTCGTGGTAAAGTGATTAAGCCCCTGCAATACCAATCAACAGTGGCTTCTGGCACAGTGGCAAGAGTAGAGCCGAACATCAAGTGGTTTGGTGAGTATCGTGTCCTGTTCTTCTTTTTCTTTTTTTCTTTATATATATATAGTACTTTAGATGAAGGTTTACAGAGCAGATTAGTTGTCAGTAAACAATTAGTGTCCTGTTATTTTTGCTTTACAAAATGTGCAAAAGGATAGAATGCTCAGGTGTCTAAAAGACAGGAGGTTTTTTTGAGGGCAGTTTTTGGTGAGTGGAACTAGCAAGGATTAGATGAGAAGGGGATGAGAAAAGTAGCTGTGGAAAAGTGCTTAGAAAAATAATAGTGATGGACTTCATAGATAACCTCTTTTTTGAAGCAAGCTCATCATTGTTAATCTTAGGTGAACCCTCTTAACCAGATGCGAGCATCCTTAATTACTAGCATTAACAAACCGTGGACGGTCATCTGTTAATTTCTGGTTACCTGGAGAGATTGCTGTTTGAGCGGTGGTGTTGCAGGTGGGTTTGTGCCCTTACCTAGCAGAGTAAGTTCATTAGCCTAAAGTTTCTCTGAAAACATTTTTTTTTAATGGGGTTGTGTTTGAACTGAGTGACAGTTAAAGAATCTCATTGTGGGTCCTTCTCACAAGTGAATAGACTGTCTCTAGAGTCACGGGAGTTCAGTGCTTGTTCTTTTGGAAACTTGGCCTTCATTTCAGTCTTGGCTTTTGACCTATCCCTTAGCCACTGCTAGGTATGTGGGCTCTTCAGATGGTTGGACCCCATTGTTTGCCTGGTGCTGACCTTTGGCCTTGGAGACAGATGGCAATTGCCTTTGAATATCTTTTGCGTGTTTTCATGGGTGTGATATCCCCTAGGATACTACAACACAGAAAAGTGCCAAAGAAAATTCCTTAGAGAGGCATTTAGCATGGTGGCCAGGAGCTTTGACTCCAGGCTAGACTGCCTAGATTTGAATCCTAGTTCTGCCATCCGTGCAACCACAGGCAAGTTATTAAGTCTGTCTGTGCATCAGTTTCCTCATTTCTAAAATGAGGATGAAAATAGTACTTATCTCACAGGACTGTTGTAGTAATTAAATGGGTGAATGTGTGTAAAGTACGTAAAATAGTACCTCACAAATAGTGAGTTCAGAGTAAGCATTAGCTGCTATCATCACCACCACCGCGACCACAACTATGCACCCCCCTCCCTTCTTCCTCCTGACGTTTGCGCTGCAATGTGCTATTTAATTGAATACATCCTTCAGGATCTCAAACTTAAATGGTATTCTCTAGGTAGTGTCATAAGGCCTTTATTTTGTTCCCTTGGGTCTTTGGTTAACTGAATAGTCCCTTCAAACCCTCTTAACCCTGAAAATAGTAATTATGACTGTTTAACAAAGTTTCTGCACTTTAGGATTCTCTGTCTATGCTACTGATCAGCAGTGATTGGCTACACATTTCTCTGCCAGATCTAGCAGGAAGTAGGACGGTTGTCAAATCTCAGTTCTATTCAGTGATGTTTATTTTTCGGTTTCATCCAGTCAGGAAATTGGGCTTGGAAGACTATTGAAACCTTTTGTGTGTCTGGGTTGGTGGATTAGGTCACACTGTACAAGTGCAGGAGAGGCAGTTTTTTTTTTTTTTTTTTAAATCCCCTCTCTCTCTGTCTCTTTTAAGTTTGAAAATGTCTATAAGGGATGGATGTATCAGGTATCTAGGGGAGTAAGAGTGATTTGAAATCTACCTTTCCCCATGTCATTGTGAACATGGATGCAAAAGTAAAAATGAGTTATTTACTAAATGGCGGCATTCTTTATTTGTAAAACAGGAAACACGCGTGTGATTAAGCAGTCATCATTACAAAAATTTCAAGAGGAAATGGATACAGTTATGAAGGATCCATACAAAGTTGTCATGAAGCAAAGCAAGTTACCAATGTCTCTTCTCCATGATCGAATCCAGCCTCATGTAAGATGTAGGATGCCCCTGGTGGTGGAATTTCTCGGTCAGACTCCACCCAGATCCCTCTCTAACGTATTTGTCTTTTGTTTTTCCTTAGGGAATAGTGGCTTTAATGCAGTTGTGAATAACTTCCTGAGCCTTCTCTTTTGAACCTTTGTTAGGGGTCTCACCTTTAGCGTGGCTCTCATTTTGTCAGAGGTGCAGTAGCATCGTGGATAAAGCACAAGTTTTAGAGTCAGATCTGAATTTTAGTCCTTGTTCCATCCCTTCCTGTGGCTTAGTTAGGTTTCTTGGTGAGCCTTAATTTCCCCAACTGTAAAGCGGAGGTAACCCACCTCATTGGGTGATTCGACACAAATTAAATGTCTGTGAAGCAGTTGGCATGAAGTGAGCACGTAGTATGCCACATAGTAAGAGCTAAATAGATAATAAACCAGAAAACAAACAAACCATTGTCATTGAGTCGATTCGACTCATGGTGACCCCATATGTTACAGAGTAGAAACTGAGCCCTGTAGGGTTTTCTTGGCTGTAATCTTTACAGAAGCAGATCGCCAGGCCTTCCCTCCATGGTGCTACTACATAAGTTCTAATTGCCAGCCTCACAGTTAGTAGTCGAGTGCAAACTGTTCTCAACAAGCAGAAGAGCTAGATAGTACCTAGCTAACACCACCAACTCCCAGACAGAATGGAAGAAAAATGTAGAACAGAATTCAAAATTCACGAAGAAAGACCAGACTTACTGGCCTGACAGAGACTGGAGGAACCCCTGAGACTATGGCCCCCAGACACTCTGCTGACCCAACTGAAACCATTCCTGAAGCCCACTTTTCAGACAAAGATTAGACAGGCCTATACATCAAAAAATAACACACATGAGGAATGAGCTGCTTAGTTCTATCAAATATACGAGACCAAATGGCAACTCCTGTCCAAAAGCAAGACGGGAAGGCAGGAAGGGACAGACAGTGGACAAATGGTCACAAGGAACCTGGGGTGGAAAGGAGGAGCAAGCTGTCACATTGTGGGGATTGCAGCTAATGTCACAAAACAATATATAAATTTTTTAATGAGAAATTAACTTGAGCTATAAACTTTTGTCTAAAGCACCCAATAAAATCGAAAAAAAAGTAAACAAAAGCTGTTCTCAGCACCCAGGGACCAAATAGATAATGTTGTTGTTATCAGATGCTGTCGAGTGGATTTTCAACCCATAGCAACCCCATGTGGCAGAGTAGAACTACTCCCTAGGGTGTTCTAGGCTGTAATCTTCATGGGAACAGATCACCAGATCTTCCTGCCTCGGAGAGGCTGCGTGGGTTCAAATCGCCAGCTTTTGGTTAACAGCCAACTGCTTAACCACTGCACCACCAAACCCACTACTGTCAAGCCAATTCCTATTCATAGTGACCCTATACAACAGAATAGAACTGCCCTATAGGATTTCTGAGGCTGTAAATCTTTACAAAAGGCTACTGCCACATCTTTCTCCTGTGGAGCGGTTGGTAGGTTTGAACAGCCAACTTTTTGGTTAGCAGCTGAGCACTTTGTAACCACTGTGCCACCAAGGCCCCTTAAATAGATAAAGCTATTGGTAGTATATTTTTCATTTTTATTTTTTGGTAGGAAAACTTGTTTCATTAAATGGTAATTCCATCAAACTTTGGGAAAACATAGAATTAGGATTGGGTAGGTAGGAGATCTTTGGTGTTGCATACGCCTTCTCATTTACTATCTCTTTATCCAACATTTCGCGTTTACGACAATAGTAAAAAATCTACTACTCAACTATTACGCGCATTACGACATACGTCTGGCCGTAATGAACACTGAGGTGCGAGGTGAGAGAAACGCTGGCTGTGATGGTTAAGGTTATGTGTCAGCTTGGCTAGGCCATGATTTCAGTGGTTTGGCAGTTACATAATGATGTAATTTGGCAGTTGTATAATGATGTAGTCATCCTTCATTTTGTCATCTGATGTGGTCGTTATCCGTTTTTGCATAACACCAGTTTCTCATAACAACCTAACCGTGTTGATAAATGAGGAGAGGGTGTACTTTTCAGCTTTAGTGAGATCCTAGGAGATTCTTTTCAGCTGAAGAAAAAGGTGCTCTTCAGACTGATTGTAGATTGCTGAAGTTCGAAGTACGGTAAGAACTGAATCTGATTTGAGTGGAGTGAGGTTCACACAGAACCAAAAAAAATGGTCTAATATTTGCCTGCACGATTTTACTTGCATTGAATAATAATTCCCAGAAATGTAGTAAGGACGTAAGCTTCAGTTCCAGTGTAAGGAGGGCAAGAAAACATTGACAAGCATACATGGACTAAACAGTTCAAAGAAAAGTGTTTACTTGCAGAACAAAATAAAAACCAAGGTCTGGTGATTGCCTCAGGTTTTGTCAATTATGCTTTGTTTTATGATGGACTAGAAGAATGGCACCTATTAGTGGAATGACTGTTTTCTTTCAGGGAAACACATGAGTGTAATTCATGAACCACAGACAAGTTGCTCATTTCCCTTGTTCTCTTTGTCTGTTCTCCCTAAAGCCATCTTTTAACAAACTATTGAATCCTGTTTATGGGAAGAACAGAGAGGTTCTGTTATGGATTTATTGCTTTGTTGCCCCTTCGAGTTGTTCATTGTTTCTAAAATCCAGTGCTTAAGTCTTTGATGTCACATGCAGGATCTACAGTTGCAGCAGTCAGCTTGTATTGGGATGCAGAAAGGTATTCAGAGTAATTGATGAGTTTTCTGTTTTGGCCTTGAAAAACCTTACTTATTTTATTGTAGTGTGATACCTACCACTCATTATAAAGTCTAATTCTGAGATTGTTCTGTACAGTGGAATCAAATCAGACACTTTTAACTTTCACACATTCAGCTCGATGTGTATTATAGTTGCTATACTTCTGTAGCAGTACAGTAAAAATACTGTAACATTTTGTATATGTACTTTGTTATATACTGGGTGTTACTGCATTATACATATCAATGTAAAGGATTATATGCACAAAACAGTGTATACTGTACTTTATAGATTATTTAAGGGATTTTCCAGAATAATCTCGATCATGTTTGATTTTATCCAGTGGCATTAGAATCCAGTTCCCATGTAAAATGCAACTGTCTGGGAACAAACCCTTCACCGTACATAGCAAGAGAATCTGAGAAGACAATAATAACTTCAGGATCTTTAGACATCGGAAGGGGGGACCTGTTAAGATCAGAAGCCACGGTGGAGCGCCAGCATCCTGTGTTTAGTAGCTGGTGCTTATGATGGAACTTGTACTGAGGGGCCAAGAATGATTTTTTTGAGGATAGTCTCTGCCGGCTGTTAACATTCTGTTACGTGATAGATCCTAACTCAGACTTTGACTTTTATCCTGCTTCAAAAATTCCTATGCCTGTAACTCCTTTACAGGCACATCAAGTTCTAGTTAGTATCAGGTTCCTTTTATCACATCTAAACTATTACTTTGGACTTTTACTAGATGTTTTTCATCTGAAGACTTGCCATGTGCATTTAATAAAAACATTACCTAAATTAGGGAAAATGTTATCTGAAACTAAAATGCATCTTACAAAACAAGCAATTCCTTTTAGCCATGAAAGAAATTAACTTCCAAGAAAAAGTTGGCATTTACAGTTGGCTAAAAAAAAACATACAAATTTGAGTATGACTGTCCTTGACAAAATCTCTGAATTTGGCAAATTTTATGCACTTGTTTGAAAGCTTAAAAAAGTGATCAGAAAAGATAAGTTAATTTTCATCATTGAAGCCTTAATTACATTTGACGAAAGTTTATGATAACTGAAGTAGAGTTTTTGGCAAGTTGTACACAGCTATTCACGTTTGCTTTGATTATTTGTTTTACTTTTGTATTTCTCCAGGGAAGCTTACAGAACTTTAGAATAGGGGAACAAGTGCTTATGCCATTCAATAAGCATTTCTGAATTGAAACTAGGCTGAATCCATGTTTTTATAGGTTTTGATATGGGTTGGACTTTGGAAAAGTAAAAGCAAAAAGCCTTTTCCAGGTTTTTAACTTCTTGTTTTATTCCCAGTGCTGCTTTCCTTAACTTTACCTGTAATTCTCCTTTCTCTTTAGAATTCAAAAGTGCACATTCTTGATACTGAAAGTTTTGAGACGACATTTGGCCCTAAGTCACAGAGGAAGCGACCGAATTTATTTGCGAGTGATATGCAGTCTCTTATAGAAAATGCCGAAACGTCCATGGACAGCTATGACCAGGGCAAGGATCGTGACTTGGTGGCTGAGGACACTGGTGTGAGGTACAGTTTTCTTTAAACTTATTTTGACGACATGAAACTCAGTGGTTTAACTCAGAGAGGGTGATCCTCGTTCCTTAGACTAGAAACATTGGTAGCATTGGGCCAGACCGAAAATGATTTAAGTTGGTTTGTTTGCCGTTTGTTTTCTTAGTAGCCTTTTACAGCTCTGTCTCTTCATAGCACAGATAAATAATAATAATAGTAGTAATTTTTTTTATTCATTATAATAGCAGTGTATTGTATTATATGGAGCCCTGGTGGTGCAGTGGTTAAGAGCTATAGCTGCTAACCAAAAGGTCAGCAGTTTGAATCCATAGCTACTCCTTGGAAACCCTGTGGGGCAGTTCTACTCTGTCCTATAGGGTCGCTATGAGTCGGAGTTGACTTGACGGCAGCTGGTTGTATTCTGTTACAGACAGATTAGAAACTATAGTGAAATTGGAAAATGCAACATAATTGTACTACCTGTGTTAATTAAGGGCATTGTTAATGCCCTGGGAATATCATGGTGTCCTTAACTGAAGGTGTCCGTACCAGTAGGGGGTTCTTGGATTTGAGGTTTCTGTGACCGCACCCCCTTGAAGAGAATCTGGGAGATTTATGTATATGCATAAAGGTGGTGAGTGTTGGTTGTTTTTATTTTTGTTTTGAATTGCATCCAAGGGGATGTGTAGAGAATGGATAACTTTAACATATTCTCATAGAGATCCAAACTCACAAGAAGGTTAAGAATCAGTCCCTGGTATAGATACTTCTAGGTCTTCCTTATGCTCATTTTTTTCTACAAATATAGTACCTTAAGAATTTTAACTTGCCTTTTACTTTAATACATTTTCTTAAATTATTAAGAATACATTTCCAGGTCCGTAAGTAACCAACAACAATATAACGTTTAATGTCTAATATTTTGTTGTAGCCAGCCCCATTATTATTTCATTTATGCTGTTTATAGATATACAACGTGAGGGTGAAACGTCCTTACAGGGGAAATAACAGTGTTAAAGGATATACATGCTCTTTGATATGTAACTGCATGTTGTCCCCCAGTAAGGCTTAACCAGTTTCGTTTCCCCCTAGCAATGCTAGAGAGTTCCCACTGTGCCTCACCGGTCTCTTAAGTGAACCAGGGTTTTGCCGTCTCAGTAAAGAGGTATTGTCCACTGATTGCAGCTATATTACTTCATTGCAGTTGTCTGCCCATCTCAAGCTTTGGCCCTCTGAGAAACAATGTCAAGCCATTAGAGGCCAGGCAAAAAAGCAGTCAGTTCATTTATCCTTAGAATTATTTGGACTTTCTGGTTGGCCTTTCAGCCTTTTGCTGATTTGAATTTTTTGCTCCTCCAAAAGGTGTGGTAAGCAACGGGGGAAAACAAAATATTTTTGTTTCATTTTTCCTTGGGTAAATGCCTTTGAGGCTAGTAGATAAACAGATTCTAAACCTTACCAGAAAAATTTTGCTTACTTTAAATGGGAGCTGTGCAGTGTAGATCATGGTTAAAAAAAAATACCATTGCCATTGAATTGATTCCAACTCATGGCAGCTCATGTGTTACAGAGTAGAACTGCTCCATAGGGTTTTGTTGGCTGTAATGTTTACGGAAGCAGATCATCAGGCCTTTCTTGTGCAGCGTTGCTAGGTGGGTTTGAACCACCAACCTTTAGGTTAGTAGTTGAGCATAAACCATTTGTGCCACCCAGGTACCTAGATTATGTTTCAGGTTCTGCCAGTTTCGTTTCATAGTTCTCTGTGATGTATTGTCTAATTACAATCACTTTTTAAATTCAGTTTGTTTTCGGTCCATCTCTGTTTTTGATACCCCTTTCGTCTGGTACATGGTTGACTTTTCCCTAAAGCATCTTTTTAATTTTTATAGTGCTTCAGTTTCTCATTTGGGGTGCTCTCTTGTTTAGAAATGAAGCCCAAGAAGAGATATATAAAAAGGGACAATCCAAAAGAATATGGGGTGAGCTCTACAAGGTAAGACTATTAAATTCTCTCTCATTGAGTGGTTCCTTTGGCTTTCATGATCTTGTATGAGAAAACTGATTTGGATTTACTGAAGCTCTGTCAGATGAACTACGGACTCCCCTGCCCGTTCCATCCTTGCTCCCCCAAAAGAAACCAGAGCTAATGTAGCTGTTCGCATACTACTAATGTTCTAGGTAACTGCATTTTAAAAATACCTTGTATAATAACAGCCATAACCTTCTATATACTCATATTCTCTGTTGATATTTCTTTAGATTGCCTACTAAAATGATATTCCTGTTTAGATGTATACATGATTAAAACCACGTGAAAACTTTTCAGTTACTGAGTCCAGCCTTCTAATTTTATAGATGAGAAAACATGTCTAGAAAGATTGAATACCTTGCCCAAGCTCACCTGGCTTGTTAGTGGAAGAGGCTTTGTATATCCCGAGTTCTCATCCAGTGATCTTTAACTAGCTAGATTTTAGGTCCACACACTAGTAATATTCTTGGGAACAAAGACATTCAAGCAAGTCACATAATTAAACAGTAACATAATAAAGGAAACTAGTACCATGGAGGCAAACTAAATTAGTTTTCTGTAAAATACAGTCTGTAACAGTAGAAACTCTTAGAAGTTTAAGAAGTAAATGATTCTGTTCAATAATGCATAGCAGTCATTAAGTAAGATGGGTTTTATCTAAGCTCGTTTTCCTATTTGAAATGTGACATTTTTCAGATACCCACAGGTTGAAAAACTTTGGAATTCTGATCATGGGGCCATGAGATTGGTTACAATCCACTCTCCTCAGAAGACTGTTTGAAGTTCCTCTAGATATTTTGTTTTTCCCAGGTTCCCTTAAATGTTGTCCCTCTTTCATTTTGTCTTTATTCTGGAGCAAACCATTTTTGCCTCTTTGAATTTGCAGGTGATAGATTCATCAGATGTTGTAGTTCAAGTTCTTGATGCTAGAGATCCAATGGGTACCCGTTCCCCTCACATTGAGACTTTCTTGAAAAAGGAAAAACCCTGGAAACACCTTATTTTTGTTCTTAACAAATGTGACCTTGTTCCAACCTGGGCAACAGTAAGTATAGCTACTAATCCAAAACAGACTACTGAGGCCACTCAGCTAGTGTTGACTTTGAATTATTAGTTCGTAAATCAGTTTCATGGTTTCTAGGATTCGAGGCATTAGTCAAAGTGTTGCACTCTTGAGATTGTTTTGAGTCATTGGAGTGTTCTCATTGAAAACAAAATTAAAATGTGCTTTGTTGATGCTGGGAAGAGAGAGGCACCTTTTATCTGTTGACAGTTTGTAATGGGACAGCTGCAGTGCCCCCAAAGGATGAGTGATGGTATGTCTCTTCAGAAGGAGACAGCTGCCGCAGCCACTGGCCTGTTTTACATTATGTAAAAGTAATTGCATTTATCTCACAATGAAGGCATTTTTAGAATATTGTTTTGCATTTATAAAACAAAGCATTAACTGTCACACTTGGAAAAACATTTCAAAGAATTATAGCTAACATTTTCCTTAGACAACTGTGTATTTGCAGAGCAATCCTGTAATTCAAGCTTCAGTTCTTCTCTGTATTGTAAATAAACAAGTTGCCATTTACCGGCATCTTTTCTTTTTTGCCCTTAGAAACGCTGGGTTGCTGTCCTCTCCCAGGATTATCCGACACTTGCTTTCCACGCAAGTCTTACTAACCCCTTTGGCAAAGGAGCATTTATTCAGCTTTTACGGCAGTTTGGAAAGGTATTGAGGCTTGATCTGTTCCTCCTGGGGTTGTGTGGCTGTGGCTTTGTGTGAGAATTCCTCTTCCCACCATGTGTCAGAAAGGTACCAACTTCACTCCCCAAATCTTCTTGGTATTGAAAAATGTGCTCTAGAGATGTAAAAACTCAGAGAGTGTCAGATTATAAAGGATCCTGAAATGTTTTATAGCTCCACCTTTACCCCTTACTTCTCCACCAGTGTTGCTTCCCGTTCTGCCATATACCTGGCACTCCCAGCCCCCTGCATTTTCAAGGCCTGCCATGCTTCCTCCTCCCTCAGGGCCTGTACAGTTCCCATCCCCTCTGCCTGGGCGCGCCCTGCCAAGACTCAAGCTCCAGATCCTTGGTCAGGTGTCAGTTCCTCAGGGAAGTCCTGAAACCAGATCACCCTATTAAACGTTCTCAAAGCTTCGTGTTCTGTGCCTGTAATGTGGCATTTGTGTCATCATCTGATTAATTCTACCTGGCTTCTAACAAAAGACATGTTCCTTGTCCCACCCTTCCCTCCTTACCAGAAGCAAACACTTTCATCTCTTCACTGTTAACTTCTGTTATTTTCCTCCGTATTTCAAATAGATGCTTAACGATTCTCTCTCTTGATTTTTTTCCCCCCAGTTTTGAGTATTTGTTAAGTTCCTGCTATGGAAAATGAAGAGTTACCTTTCTTACATGCCACTGTCCCTCCACACATACTTCCCACTCCCTCTGTTCTCCCTGTATCATTATATAACAGTGTTTAGTTAAATTAGTGCTCATTCAGTGTTTCTGTTATTATGACTGAGGAAAATATTAATCACATCGGGTCCACACAGTGTGCTAGGTTTGTAATTCTTTTCTCATCAAACCTTTTATTGTCTCAGGTGTTAATTTGCTCTGTTTGTATCTGTCACTAATGCATCCTCAAATTCTCTGACAGTGTGGGAATTCTTAGAATGTTCAAACACATCAGACGGTCAGTCCACTACAGTGATGAGCCCATCGTCCTCCCCTTCCCGTCTGGACGGGCTGCTCCGATGGCCTGCTGCAGAGTCTTCTTTCAGGGACTTCTTTCCCCAGCGTCTTGGAATGCCCGTGGCTGCTGTCCTGTGTTGGATCCTTGTTTATTGGGCCCCTTTTCTTCCTCTTTCTTGGTGTACTCGTTCCTTTTCATGAAACATACTTTCCAGAAGTTTCCTGAGAAGGAGTGCTTGAAAGGAACATTTTTCGAGAGCTCGCATTCTGAAAATATCTTTATTCTACCTTCACACTTAGTGATGCTTGGCCAAGTGTAGAACTTCAGGTTGGAAATCATTTTTCCTCGGAATGTTGAAGGCACCACTGCATCATCTTCTGGCTTCTGATATTGCTGTTGAGCAGTCTGAAGCCTTCCTGACTCCTCAGCTTTTTTGGCAGTGATCTTTTTATTTTTTTGATCCCTGTTCTGAAATTTCATAGTGATGTACCTTGAGGTGGGTCTTTTATTGTTCAGTGAGCTAGGCATCCGGTGAGACTTTTAGTGTGATATTGTCTCAAATTATTTCTGATATTTCCTTCTGCCTTCTATCATCTCTGTTCTCTTTCAGGAATTGGGTTTTATCCCCTGTATTTTCTGTATTTTAGTATATATATGACATTTTGCTCTACTTTTTGGGTGATTTCCTTGACTTGATCTTCCAGCTGCTATGTCAAAAAATTTATTTTGCCTATCACTTTTTTGATTTCTGGGAGCCCTTTCTTGTTTGAATTGTCCCACACCTCTTCACATCCTGTTCTTGTTTCCTGGATGCACTGTCTTCTCTGTCTCTCTGAGAATGTTACTGAGAGTGATGTTTTGAAATTCTCCTATCCCCTGACGTTGGCTTTGTTTCCTCCAACTTTCTTTGTTTTTCTTTTCGAGTCAGATTCATATGTTTGGCTTTTCTTGGCTCTCCATTCATACTTAAGGGTGAGGCACTGAAAAAAAAGCTGGTAAAAATTTTATGCATAAGGATGGGCTTCTTGACTGATAGACTTCACTGTAGGGTGATTGGATGAGGATCCAAATATTTTGTTGGCAGACACCCTAGATATCAGCATCTATCAGTCTTTTCTCTCAGGCCTGTGATTCTCCCCGGAAAAGACTCTTCTGGGAGCATCTAAGCCCAGCTACCAGGGCTCTGGGAACTCAGTGGGAGTAAGGGGCTGGGGTCCTCATTATTCAATATTTATACTTCACTTAGTCATTCTGAGAACAACTGCCTTCAGCTGCTGTTGTTGTAAATCTTGGGTTCATTTTGAAACATGCAGGGTTTCAAAAAATGTTGTCTCCCAGGTCCACTTCTCGGGAAGATTTGAGAAGATATGTTCTATCAAAAGGAAAGAGTGAGCTGTGTAAGAGGAGAGGAGGGGACCCAGGCTCTGCTCTTCTTCTGGGGTAGGGAAGTTCTGTGCCCATGCTGAAGGAGAGAGGGGTAGATGTGTGGCTGTTCACAGGACTTCCAGCCAGTCCTCTTGTTTTCAGCCCTACCCTCATAGGTATCTGATACCACCAAGTCCTGAGGCTTTTTGTGATTCTTTGGCATTATTTTGTTTAAGTTTTCAGTATTTCTACCTTTGTAGCCACTTAGCTTTCATATTTTATAGTGGGCCAAGTCAGATGTTACTTTTTAGCTCCTAGTATTTTGTTAGCAGCACAGGTTAGGTCTTACTGTCTCATCTCCAGCTCATTCTTTGACCTGTGGGTTTATATGTGTTAATCCTCACCACTGTCATTCTAGTGGAGCTTGGGGAGGGGGTGAGGTAAGCATGTATGTTCAATAGGCCATCTTTAATGAGAAGGGCCTGTTCATTTATTTATAGACTCTCTTCTTGATAACAAGCTGAGCTCTGCCTCCTTGAGACTTTCACCCAGTAGTCTAACTTTTGAGCTGGTTTTTTTTTTTTCCCCTTTGTTGTTTATTTTTGGCAATGAAAATACAAAATGTATTGTGCAAAGAAAGGGAGGTTGTTGGAATAGGTCATGGGATTGTCAGTTGGTGAATCTGTAAGAATCTCTTTCCTGAAGACATGTTGTCAGTGGATGGTGTTCTTCTAAACTGATGACTAACTAGCTATTTCTTTCTTTGTTTCTCAACCTACATACTTTTAACCTTAAAACATGCAAAGATAATTTCGTGTGATGACCAAGGAAATGACTAATTTCTGCTTTATTAATAATGACATGTATCCTGCTCACTCAGATGATGTAAGTGGTGTGTGTCTAGGCTTCAAATCAAGTTGTGGCCTCAGTTTTGCACTCTATTCTTCATTAGCAAAGTAACACAGCTTTGTTCGTCTGAGGGGCTATTCATGACTGCATGTATGCTGTGTATTCTTTTTTCAAACAGTTGCACACTGACAAGAAACAGATCAGTGTCGGGTTCATTGGCTATCCAAATGTTGGCAAGAGCTCTGTGATAAACACATTGCGCTCCAAGAAAGTTTGCAATGTGGCCCCCATTGCAGGTGAAACCAAGGTACGTCTAGCTTCCGGGAGTTCTATTCTGCATATTTTATTTCCATGGAGGGTGATTATTTAGGACATGGAGGTTTACACCTGCTTCTGTTGATGAAGACCACCATTGGGAGTTGAGTTTTCCACGTAACGGTTTGGAATGTACCAGAATTGTGTCTGCCCACTTGGATGAGACTAAGAGCACCTTGTAAGCCAGTGTGTAGACTTGGTGTGATTTGGTGAATGCTATTCATGTTTGTCTATTAGAGATTATTGTCACAAATGGTTGTTATTGTTTACTTGTTTAGCAAACAAAACTAACACAAGAATATTTGATGCCTGGGTTTAGAAGGAAAACTCAACCTTAGAGTAGATTCTGATCATTGGGAGGGTCATACCCTGGGACACAGAACGTTTGGGGGAACAGCATGGTTCTGCTTGAAGGAAGAGAGGCCAAATTGAGTATTAAGCTTCCAAGAGTACTTTTAAAAAACGAGAGAAAGGTTTACTGGGCATTGTTGCACAATGCTAGTTGGAAATCCTGCCTCTGTGTTATTTTTAGACTCTTAGCTGATGGAAACTATATTTTATAATTAGTGGAAGTATCTCATGCTGGCACAAAGAGAAGAGAGTGTTAGTAGCTCAGTTACTCAGCAGGTTGCTTTTCTGTGACTCCTACCTCCCTTCCTTTCTAGATTCATGCAGAAGCATCAGGGATCTCTCAGTATTTGACAAAGGGAAGTCTGACTTTTTTCTGTCTTCAGGTCTGGCAGTATATTACCTTGATGCGACGGATATTCCTAATTGATTGTCCAGGTGTGGTTTACCCCTCTGAGGACTCAGAGACAGACATTGTGCTGAAGGGAGTTGTGAGTATTGTGGTTCTGATAGGCGCTCTGTTTGCCTTTTGGGGGAAGTGTTCTGTGGGGAATCCTGGATACCTTTGCTTTTTACTCTTACAGAAGGCAGTTTGGGGTCAGCCTGTCTGACCAAACTTTAGGAACATGATGCTGAACAGGGCAGCCTCTCCATTTCATGTAGTCCTGTTTGAGGAGTTTGTGGGGACCATGGGCATATCTGGTCAATATCATCCCACAAAAGAGTTTTTAGTTTACACACAGGATCCAAAGGGAAGCAGGGCCTGTTTATGTTTAGTGATAATTCATCTTCCTGGGTTTATGGGTTGAGTCATTTTGGAACCCAGTCAGTTCCTCACTTGTTTCTGAGTATGACCGAAAACTTTAAATGGTTCCACTTAACTTTAACCAGTGCTTCTGGCTATACATCCTGTACACATTCCTCCCCTTTTTTCTTAAACTATTCCATTCTTTTTGTGTCCTGGCATTGGCAGGCTTTTAACCGTTTCTGCAAGTAAGTAACGTGAGGCCTTCCAAATTTAAACTGTTTGTGGAAGCCACACAGTTAGTTCGTGGTGAACTGGGATTAAAGCTGAATTCTGTGCTCCCACTGCTGTAGTTGGCTCTTGGTGGTACTCTTTTCAACCAACCACATCTAGCCACCTTGGAGATGGCTCCTGCCAGGCTCCATTTGCTTTCTGGTGTTGAAATCGATTTTCAAATGTGGTTACAAAAAACACTGGGAATGTCACTGCTTCCATATAAAGTTTGTAAGCAAGAAATTTCCTGTTAATATCTAGGTTCAAGTTGAAAAAATTAAGACTCCTGAAGACCACATTGGTGCTGTACTTGAAAGAGCAAAGCCAGAGTATATCAGCAAGACATATAAGATTGATTCTTGGGAGAATGCTGAGGACTTCCTTGAGAAGCTAGCTTTCAGGACTGGGAAGCTATTAAAGGTGCGTAAAGATCTGTGAGAATTTAAACTGCCACGTATGTGCTGTTAAGACCAGCTTCTCGCAGGCAGGGTGCATATGGTGTGGACCTTTTCTGTATGCAGTATGAAATTGTCTAGCAGGTGGTGATGAATAGCTGGGAAAACTGAAATGTCTCCAAACTGGGAGGTGGTTTTGTTCTTTGACTTTAATTTGGAGCCTTTCTGTGTCATTTCAGGGTGGCGAGCCAGACTTGCAGACTGTGGGTAAGATGGTCCTCAATGACTGGCAGAGGGGCCGGATTCCTTTCTTTGTCAAGCCACCCAATGCAGAGCCCCCAGCAGCCCCCCAGGTAAGAAGATGATCCTCAATAACTGGCAGAGGGTGGCCCCACCTCTTGGGAAACATGGTTACTGACCTAGAGATAGTGTCCTTTAATTGCTTCCCTTTGTGCAACATCTTTTTCCATGATTGAAGGAATTTCAGCTGTAGTGTCTCTTATTCCAGGTGCCACTGCCATAACCTTTTTGGGGGGTGGAGACTAATAAATAGATGTATGCTAGAACACCAAGCATAAATACAAATCTTTGGGGAGTTAGAAAAAGAGGGCTCATTAAATGTAAATGTTCTTCTCTACCTCTGTCTCTTGTCTTGTGCTTGAAAAATAAGCCTTCCCAAGATTCTTTTGTTTAACAGATATTTATTAGAATCAATTCTGTGCCAGGTACAGGGAAGAGAGGGATGAGTAACATAGCTCTTGCCTTCAAGAAGCTTGTAATCAACAGAACATCTAGAAAGAAGGTCAGCAAGAAAACAGAGGACCTGAATTACACTATGAACCAACTAGACTTAATAGACATATATAGAACCAAAACCAAACCCATTGCTGTCAAGTCGATTCCGTGTCATAATGACCCTGTAGGACAGAGTAGAACTGTCCAATAGGGTTTCCAAGGCTGTAAATCTTTACGGAAGCAGACTGTCGCATGTTTCTCCCACAGAGTAGCTGGTAGGCTTGAACCACAGATCTTTAGATTAGCAGCCAAGCACTTTAATCACTGCACCACCAGGATGGCCCCTGTAGATGGAACACTCCACCTCAAAATAGCACAATATACATTCTACTCCAGTGCACATGGATCATTCTTTAAGATAGACCACACTTTAGGTCACAAAGCGAGTCTTGATAAATTTAAAAAGATAGAGATGATACAAAGTATTTTCTCTGACCACAACAGAATGAAGCTAGAAATCAGTAACAGAAAAAAAACCTGAAAAAGACAAAAAAATGGAAATTAAACAACACACTATTAAACTACCAATGGGTCAAGGAAGAAATCACAGATTTCTCAGAGTCAAATGAAAATGAAAGCACAGCATACCAAAACTTATGGGATGCAGTAAAAACAGTAGTACTCAGAGGGAAGAAAGTCTCAACAGACCCGTAACAAGTGAAAGATCGAATCAGTGACCAAAAACCTCCCAAAAAATAAAGTCCTGGACCGGGTGGCTTCACTGGGGAATTCTACCAAACATTTAGAGACGAATTGACACCAATACTGTTTAAACTCTTCTAAAAGAGAAAGAAGGAATACTCCCTTGTTCATTTTATGAAGCAAACATAACCCTCATACCCAAACCAGACAACGACATCATAAGAAAACTACAGGCCAATATCTCTTACGAATGTAGATGTGGAAATCCTCAACAAAATACTAGTGAACAAATTCAACAGCATATTAAAAGAGTTATATGCCGTGACCAGGTGGGATTTATTCCAGAAATGCAGGGATGGTTCAGTGTTAGAAAATCAATCAACATAATACACTACATCAGTAGAACAAAGGAAAAGGACCACATGATCATCTCTGGATGCAGAAAAGGCATTTGATAAAATCCAATACTCTTTCTTGATGAAAACCCTAAGAAGATTGAAATAGAAAGAAAATTCCTCAGTATGATTCAGGGCATATATGAAAAGCCAACAGCCAACGTTATACTTAATGGAGAAAGACTGAGAGCTTTCCCCTTGAAATCAGGAACAAGACAAGGGTGGCTGTTCGTACCACTTCTATTCAATATTAGAAGCCCTAGCCAGAGCAATAAGTCAGGAAAAAGAAATAAAAGATAACCAGATTGGAAAAGAAGAAAAATTATCTCTATTTGTGGATAACAGATCCTATATATAGAAATCTCAGAGTACACAAGAATACTTCTAGAGCTAATAAAAGAATTTAGCAGTTGCAGGGTACAAGGTCAATAAACAAAAACCAGCAATGAGAACTCTGAAAGGGAAATTAGACAATTTCATTTACAATAGCATCTAAGAATATAAAATACCTAGGAATAAATCTAACCAGGGACGTGAAGGACTTACACAATGAAAACTAAAAAAACACTACTGAAAGAGATTAAACCTAAAACCCACTGCTGCAGAGTCGATTCTGACTCCTAGCGACCCCGTAGAGTTTCCAAGGCTGTAAATTATGGAACCAGCCTGCCACATCTTTCTCCCATGAAAGAGACTAAAGAAGACTTAAATAAATGGAAAGATGTTCCATGTTCACGGATTGGATGTCAGTACTATCCAAAGCGATCTATAGATTCAATGAAATCCCAATCAAAATACCAACAGCCTTCTCTACAGAAATAAAAAAAACAGTCCTCAACTTTATATGGAATGGCAAGAGGCCCTGAATACCTGCAACAGTGTTGATAGAGAGGAACAAAGTAGGAGGACTTACACTTCCTGATTTTAAAACATAATATACAGCTTCAGTAATCAAAACAGCCTATTACTGGTAAAACAATAGACATAATAGAACAATGGAATTGAATTGAGAGTCCAGAACTGAACTCACACACCTATGGTCAACTGATTTTTGACACGGGTGCTAAGTCCATTTAATGGGGAAAGAAGAGTCTCTTCAATAAATGGTGCTGGGAAAACTGGATTTCCACATGCAAAAAAATGAAACAGGATCAATATCTCACACCATACACAAAACCATTCAAAATGAATTAAAGACCTAAATGTGCAAACTAAAACCATAAAATTCTTAGAAGAACAAGCAAGGGCAACACTGTCAGGCCTAGCTTTCAACAATAAATTATCTAATATAATAAGAAAAGCACAAACAGCAAAAGTCAGAATAAATGGGACCTCATAAAAATTAAAAACTTCTGTTCATGAAAAGACTTTACCAAAAAAGTGAAAAGACAAGCTACCAACTGGGAGAATATCTTCAGAAACCATGTATCTGACAAGAACCAATAACCAAAATATATATAAAGCTTTGACAACTAAACAACAAAAAGACAAGCAAATCATAAAATGGGCAAAGGACTTAAGAATAGACATGTCATCATAGAGGACATTCAGGTGGCCACCAAGCACCTGAAAAGATGCTCAGCATCATTAGCCATGAGAGAGATCTAAACCAAAACCACAGTGAGATACCATTTCACTCCCACTAGGATGGCTAAGATCTAAAAAAAAAAGAAAATAAAAAATGTTGGCGAAGATGGGGGGAAATTGGAACTCTTATCCATTGCTGGTGGGAGTGCAAAATAGTACAGCTGTTGTGGAAAACAATGTGATGGTTCCTCAAAAAACTAAAAATAGAACTACCATATGATCCAGCAGTTCTACTCCTAGGTATACACCCAGAAGATTTGAAAGCAGAGGCTCTTGAAAAAAAAAAGAGACTTGTACACCAGTGTTCATTGCAGTGCTATTCACAATAGCTAAAAAATGGAAACAACCTAAATGCTCACAACAGATGAATGGATAAACAAAGTGTGGTACATACATACGATGGAATACTATCAGCCAGTAGAAGAAATGAAGACTTGATACATGCTACAGTATGGAGGGAGCTTGAAGACATCACACTGAGCAAAATAAGCCAATCATAAAAGGAAGAGTATTGTATGACCTCACTTACATGAAAAGGCAAAAAAAAAAAAGCTTGTAATTCAGTGTGATTGATAGGGAAACGAGTCTTAGATTTGAGGTTTCTGGGCTGGGTTAAGAAGCTTCTCTCTTGTTCGTTTCTCTTACCCTGGCAGTGGAATTCCAAAAGGCTTTATCTTTAGCGCTTTGCTTTTCTAGTCTCTTGAAAAGGTGGCTTCCAGTATCACTTTTTTGCTAAGAATACCTTTTGGGTTTATGTGGCCCTGGCTTCCTCTTCCTGAGCTCCATTCCTAGAGCTTCGGTTGTCGGCTAGATATTTCCAGATGAATATTTTCTCCAGCATTTCAAAATCAGCATACTTGAAATTGGTGTTAATCAATTTTCTCCCCTCTTGCCCCCTAAACCACCAAACAAAACAGCTCCTCTCCCATCTTCTTTGTTAAGTCACTCATTCCGTGATTCATTCATTCAGTAAAAATGTAATCAGCATCTGCTGCATGCCAGGTACTCTTCTAGGTCCTAAAGGTACTGCAGTGAGCAAAGCAGATAACTCCCTACCCTTGCAGACTTATATTTCAGTGGAGGAGATGGACAGTAAACAGATACAGAATGTCAGGAAGTATTGAGTGCTGTGAGGAAACCAGGTTAAGGGTTTGAGGGAGACAGTGCAGTGCTTTTGTATGTAGCCTGGTTAGGGAAGGCCCCCGGGGAAGTGACATTTGAGCAGAACTTTAATGATGTGAGGCAGGACCATGTGGATGTCCTCAGGGGAGAAAATTCCAGGTGAAGGAACAGCACACCCAAAGCACTTGAGGCAGGACTGTGCTTGGTGTGTTCAGAGTACCGGAAGGAAGCCACTGGGGCTGGAATGTGATGGACAAGGGGGAACGTGGTGCAATGGGAAGCTGTTAGAGGGTTTTGAGCTCACAAGCATTTGAGTCTGATGTACTGATATGAAACGATCTTTCTGGGTCTGATGTACTAATACGATATGAAAAGATCTTATCTGGAAGTCGATGTCACTGCTCTTGTGACCCTGTGTGGCAATGGTGGAGTTATTTTTAACCCTTCTTCCATATCTAGTAATTAAGTTTAGATAATTCAGATAATTCTTAAGAACTATTACGTACCCCCACTCTGTGATTCTCATCTTTTCCTTTTTTGAGGGAGGGTTAGAAACCCCTTTGAGAATCTAAAAGCTAAAGATTGCCTCACCAGAAAAATGTTCAAATGTACTTACAAATTCTCTATACGAGTCCCAGGATCTTACGGATGCTTGATTTATTTGACACTTTGCCTTATCACTCTTGAGTTTGGAAAGTTACTTAAGTTCTGTGAGTCTGAGTTGCAAGGATGAAATGCTGTTACACATGTGAAGCACCAGTGTAAAGCCTGGCACATGCTTATCTTGGCACCATTATCTAAAACAGCCAGTCTTTTCAGTGTACCCCAACTCAGAGTGCTCATTCTGAATTCTCCTCCCTCATAAAGTCCCTCTCCTTTTACATTATACCCTTCCTGCAAGATGCCTCCTTGAACACTAACCTTAGTCCTTGATATTTTTTAAACTAGTGCTGTTTTAATCCTTACCATTCAACTTGAGTTTCATTTCTGTGTAGTTGTATGTGCTAATTTTACATATGCTTATTTTAACAACTGAATTATACTCTTCCCCCTAGTCCTACACCTTAGTAAATGAAGGTGCAGGGAATGTTACCTGTTGTCTTAATTATCTAGTGCTGCTCTAACAGGGATATCACAAGTGGATGGCTTTAACAAAGAGAAATTTATTCTCTCACAGTCCTGTAGGCTACAAGTCCAAATTCAGGGCATCAGCTCCAGGAGAAGGCTTTCTCTCCTCTCAGCTCTGGAGGGAAGGCCCTTGTGATGCATCCGTCTTCCCTTGGTCTGGGAGCATCTGAGCGCAGGAACCTTAGGTCCACAGGATGTGCTCTGCTCCTGGCACTGCTTTCTTGGTGGTATGAGGTTCCCAACTCTCTGCTTGCTTCCGTTTCCTTTTCTCTCTTGAGAG